TAGCATCCCGAAAATTTCGGGAATTTCGGTTTGGGAAATTTTTGGTTTGGGATCGGGATTTTTTCGGTTCGGTTCGGGATTTTCAGGAATTTTTTCCACCCCTAGGAGGTGCGAAACAAAGGGAATCGTCCAAAGTATTGTAAGTATATTTAATCCCTTTTGTAATTGTTTGTTTAATAGGTGAATGTAGGCTTTACATGGCTTTTTCTCTATTCTAGGTATCAGATTTCTTTTTGGTATTCAAATGGTAGTCAAATGTATTCGTGGTCCTAAAGAAATGCGTGTTATACTTCATCATGGTAAGAAAAGGCAGAGAACGGGTGTGCTTAAGAGCTGGTAGCAATAAAAAAAAGTTCATTTGATATGCCAGGTAACAATTGGATTTTTAATAATTAGGTGCTAGTGTTTTTTGAGAAAAACGAATCCAGATAAAAACAAATAAAAAAAGTGTGAAGCCTAATTTATATATTGATATGCCATGCAACAATTGGATTTTTTTTTTTTTTTTTAACAATTGTGTATTGAAATTGATCTTGCTGAAATGCTGGATTTTCAAAATTGATCTTGTAGAAGTGCATAACATTTTAAAACTAATCTTGTAAAGTGTATGAATTGTCAAAATAAACTTGCAGAAATTAATTTTTAAGGATCTAAAATCGGTTTAAAGTTTTTTTTTTTATAAATGATGTCAATTTGTAGTTTTGGCTTGGTTAAGTAACAAGTCTATTAGGGTATGGCTGAAGTTTTGTCTCTATAGTTAAAACTCCATGTAACTAATAGCTTGACTTATGGTATTTCTACTATGAAGACATGGTGTTGGGTTTTCGGCCATATAATTGGAATTTATTTAAGTTGAATAATTAAATACGGAGTTGAAATAATAAATAAGCATGTTATATGTAATTCAAATTCTATATATGGTTACTTGTAATCAAGGAAGCAACAAAATGATGGCGAAGCGATTAACTTAGATGAATCCTTAGCATGTGTGCATTGCTTTGTAGAAATCATCCATGTACTTGTGTTCTTCCTCTTCATGATTCATCACAAGAAGCTCTTCAATGTTGAGTCTCCAAAAGTATCCACACTAATACACCAACGATGGGTGATGAAGTGAGAGATTCGATTGTGCTAGCAAGATCACTAACTTAAAACAATATTTAGGGTGGCACACTATAGAATTTTCAACTAGGGTTTTCTCTCCTAGGGGACAAATCTTAGCATTTGATTAGGCATATATGAGAAAACACTTGTGAATTATGCATCCTCTTGTCGCACCTCTATGGGCATTGACACCATAGGCCTTGTCCCATGCATCTACCCTTTTCCACTTGCCCACTTGAGCTTATAACTTGGACACTTTTTAATTAAAATCCAAAGTTTATTTTAATTTGATTCCACAAGTCGCAGCCTTCTTAAGGAGGGATCAGGACCAAGCATGACAAGTATGGTATCTTCTTGCTTCCACCATTCTTCTTCTATCAAAAAGTCAGATTTGAAGCTATTTGCTTGGTCTTCAAGCAGTAATTGCTATTTGGGGTCATCGGGAGTCTTCCTAGCGTCATCTGCTAAACTGACTACGCTTGCCTTGTTAGATCATTTATTACCTGGCATTTTCTTGGAGGCTCCTGCTTCTTGGTAGAATTTGGCACCTTGGATGCCCTATTTTAGGTTCATGGTGATGTCTTTGCTGAGTGGGTGATTTGCTGGCCCTCGTATGAAAGTTATCCACGCGATCATTATGTCGCAGTTGACAATATTGGCTTTCTCAATCTTGAAGCATTCAATATACCCCATGATAGACTCATTGGGCTTCTTGACCATACTAAAGAGGTGATCAGATAATTTCTTGATAACTCGATAGGATGAGTATTCCTTCGTGAAGAAGACTAATAAGACAATTTCTTGATAACTTGTTGGGCTTTTTACCCACATTAAAGAGGTGATCAAAAAGTTCCTCAAATGCACCTCCATGTCATAGTGGGTCATTTAGAGCACCTTCAAACTTCAGTATAGGACTAGACCAGCAAAAAAGTAAACAGCCTGAAAGAGGTCAGTAGGGAGTAGGTGCTCAGAGTAGTGAAGCTGGGACATCACATGGAGGTTCCAGTTAGTGACCAGAGTTAGCACACTTTTCGCCTTGGAGGTTGAGGCGAAGCTTGATGCAAGCACAAGTATGTTGAGTTTAGGGGACCAAACTCTTTTAAGGGGAGAAGGATGTGAAATTCCATTCCCAAATTTTACTATTTAAATTTCATATTTGTAGTTAATACGACTCCTTCCTAGTTTCAGCATTTATTTATTTTTATTTTACAAAAAGACAAAAAGCCCCTATTGGGCTAAGCGGAGTTCTATGTGGGCATTTAAGCTCCTTTCATGTGTTCCCTCATTTCTTTGCATATTTGGATAGTACATGTGATACAAACATATAAGCGAAAACATAACAAAATCTAGAGTTAAAACGAAGATTCTACAAGGCTTTTACCATTAATTGGGCACATTTTCCTTGTTGTTTTCTAGCCTTATTTTGTGACCAGTGGGACCACACGGGACCCTTCTCTCTCTCTCTCTCTCTCTCTCTCTCTCTCTCTCTCTCTTCCTCCTAAGTTTCTCTCACTTTTTCTTCATCTTCTTTGTACCATGAGCCACACCACCATCACTTCTAATCTTTCAGTGAATTGATCACCAAACCATGACCAAAAAAATATCCTTCTCTTCACGAGCTCAAAGATAAGCTTCAGATCATGAGAAAAAGACTACGAGCTGATGTCCTAAGCGCTCTGACGAGACAAGGTTTTATGACTAGTTTTTCAAGCACATCTCGTCCTTTTGGATGGTCCTAAGCCATTAGAGGACTACCCATTCTCCTTAGACTCAAGTTCAAGCAACCTGAACTCGGCCCTACTTAGTTTCGAAGGAAACCCAGGACATTGGTTTTAGGCTGAGACTTCTAGATGAATTTCAGGCCATTTCCGGCCATCTTTCGGATTCTAAATAGGTATAAACTTGTTCTCCTCTTCTCTAGCTTCATTTTGACAAAAGGATCATTGAATTTGATTAAGAATTGAACAAGTTATCGCTATATAAAGTTTTTTCCATAAATTCCAGCGAAAATTCCCATTTTTCGGGTGCTAGCAACCTAAGGAAGGATGAGAAGAAGAATATTCCGTTAACAGTAAAAAAATATTCTAGAATGCCAACAGGTCTGGAGTTAGTTTTCCGTTAATTTTTAGCGAAATATTCCATTTTTGGCATCCATTAATTCCACAATTTTAATCTAGTTTCTTAGTTGGTCGGCACAAAACTTGCAATTGGGGTGGTTCTGACCATCAGATTGTCATGAATTGTTAGTATGTTGTTGTGGAAGCTTAAGGAGACCCCTAGGAAGTTATAGATAGGAAATATGATATGCAAATCTTCCGAATTGAATGACGTAGAGTTGTTGACTCTACCATTTACCTTTGACCAAAGGTTGACTTTTGGTCAACCTATCCCGAATCATCTAGATTGTTGTAGAGGACGTGTACAAGCTAGAATTTTGTGTTTTATCACTAGAATTATAAGACATGACTTGTGCTTTGTTTGAGGTGGCAATAGTACGTGAGCACCTTGATCGTTGTTCTAGGGTGTTTTATCGCAGACTCCAAGTGAGTGACTTTAATATATGTAGTATGGTTATTTCCTTGAAAATTGCCATACTTATATACTTAATGGATATGACATTGCCTTACAGAATGTGTTTTATACTAAATTATTGCTTTTAAATTCAGTCATCAATTTATTTTTATGAAATGTGATTTGACATGCATAATTGAAATGTTTGTGAAACATGAAGGCTAGTAGAGGACCATTAACCCATTGTCATGGGGAGTTGTCACATCGAAAGTATGTCAGGGCTCGTTTCTTAAGCCATTCTAAACTAAGTTTTAGAATTCTACTCAGTTTTGTTGAGTGCTCTGGAAGCAGATTCGTTGAATTGTCCAGAACTCTGCCTTCATCTGGATTTCATTGAGCGGTCTAGAATCCTTCTTTTACGCGGTTTTGTTGAGTGGTCCGGAATTGTGTTCAGTTTAGATTTCATTGATTGGTCTAAAATTTCTCTTCCTATTTGGTTTCGTTAAGTGGTCTAGAACCCTCATCCGCTTAGATTTCGTTGAGTGGTCCGGCATCGTATTTCCTACTTGGTTCTGTTGAGTGGTTTGGAACCTATCTATGTTGGAGTTTTTTGAGTGGTCTGGAATCCTATCTCTTGTTTACTTTCATTGAGTTGGTCTAAAACCTTGCATTCGTTGGTTTCCGTTAAGTTGGTTCAAGGGTCCCACTTCATTTCAGTTTCTTTGAGTTGGTTTAGAATATGGAACTTGTGAAGTTGTAGGCTTCAGCTGAACTATGTCACTCTAGCTTGAGTTTTCCAAGTATTTATGAACTAGAGATTTGAGAACCTTTGTGGTTTGATTTAGAAAAGTCGATGCATGTTTGAGTGATTCTTTCGGAATTTCGAGCAAATTATTTATGATGTTATAAAATATGATTTCATGAATAATGATGTTTTTAAACTATGATCGGTAGACATGTTTTATGATTGTCATATACCTTGAATTATTGTCACCCAAGCTTCGCATCTTATCCAGGTTGTTGCCTTGCCAGGTGCACCACTTTTACAGTGTAGGGGCAATCATGCAGGAGACAAGTCTGTGTAGATACGAAGAGCTTTTGGGGTTGTAGTCAGAAGTGAGTTAGCTTAAAGTGATTAGGTTATCCCTATATCTTTTCTTATATTATTTCGAGAACTATATGTTTGGTGCCTATGGGCATGTTACTCTAGAGAGCTTTATGAGCTTTTTGTTGTACAATTGTCGTAGACATATTATTGTTGTATTGTTTTTTTTTCTTACTTTTTTTAATATGAAATCAGAGAATTCTAAAGGTGCAATAACCCATCACCAAATGTCTAGTTGTAGGATATTTGGCTCGAAGAAAAGAAATAAAATATCAAATCGTTAATATTCTAAAGGTGCAATAACCCATCACCAAATGCCAATTTCATTTTTCATTCCCTTACCATTTTTTTAGTTGCTTGTCAACCTAAACTGAATCTGATTTTTGAAGACCAATACAGAAGAATTGAATCTCCATCTTCAAAACCAAATTCAATTCCCAAATTTGAATCGAAGAATTTGATCCGCAACATGAGTCTGTCTCGGATTTGATTGATGTGGGTCGCATTCTAAAAACTCAGTTCGACCTTCTTGACGACGAAACGAAGACGCAAAATTTGTCGATGAATGAGTGTTATTATTGAAGTGGCCCCTTATCATCTTCCTGTCGGTGCTGGTGCAATCCGTACATGGCGGCTCCGAGAAATCTGGCGGGGGACGCCGGGAGGCTGCCTATGGACGAGGAGAATCCCAAGGAGGACGATTGGTCCACCGGCAAGAGGCCCAAGTCCGATAGGTTTCCGCTGTCGCGGTGGGAATTCGCAGCGGCACTCGGCGTTTTCTTGGTCTTCTCTACCGGTCTCTGCTGCGTCTACTTGACCATGCCTGCCGCCGAGTACGGTAAACTCAAGCTGCCGCGCTCCGTCGCCGATCTTCGCTTGCTCAAGTACGTCCCTCATTTCACGATTCAATCAAATTCTCATTTGGATTTGTTCATATTTTTGAAAATATATGATAATCTAGTTGTGTTGTGATGGGTTATTGAGATTTTGTTAAGATTAATTTGATAATTGCGGAAGATATGATTATGTGGGCTGCTTGTTATTGTACCTTTGGATTAACATCTGAGTTGCTTTTCTCTTTATCTGATTTGCATAAGATAGTGTCACATATGTTCAGTTGATTTGGAATTCGAAAAAAAATTATGAAACAAGTAGAATTCAAACGTCGGTAGGGCTTATTTTTAGTCACTATGTCATCTAATTCACCTCCGCACGGTTTAGGATGTTGTTTCACATGCATACTTGAAGACTTTGGTAGAATGAGAATATAGAAAGAACTTTCATTTAGACTGCCATTTTGTATTTTAGACTTTACAGAAAGAATTTATCTTACCCCCGATAACTCAATATGGAAAGTTTTACGTGAATGTTTCTGTAAAGAAAGTTTAAGCTTGGTGTGAGATGTCCGCCCTGAACTTCCCTATTATAACTCCTGAAGTTATAAGTAATTCATCCATAAGCTGAAATTTTGATTTCTGCAAGTTTTTATGCAAATTTTCCCTAATAGAAAAGGTGAAGTACATAGATGATGAGCTGTCCTCAAATTAAACAAAAGGAAAGAAATCATAAATGGAGCATCAATCATAAGGGTACCAGTGTAAGACTGTTCTTTAGGAACATAAAAACCCAATGACCACAACTACAAAAAGAAAAAGGAAAAATATGTTCTCTTCAAACTATTGCGATATGGAAGCCTGAACCGAAAGTCAATAGTATCTCAAATCTTATCTGTCCATTGTCTCCTTTAGAACAACCTCGGCTTTCTTTCCATTCGTAGAGAACCCTATGTGTGACCAAGAGAACACATTTCCAAAATGTTCATGCTCACTTACTAAGACCGTATCTCGTGACTTAAGTTTCCAACATTTGGAGGAGAACTGAAGGGAAGTCATTCATTTCAAACAGCTGCTTCCAAATCCTAGAAGCAACTGGGGGATGCATCTGCTAATGATACCTATATTCCACATCATTTTTTCACATGACACAGCATCAGAGAGACTGACACAGTTTTGGCCTATGCCTTGAAGTGATGTCATGTTTTCACTTTTGTCTGTCTATTTTATCCAGTACTGTGGCCTCTATGGTCCCCATTTAACATTAGTCACTTCCCCTGAATGCTTGTTTTTATTTTTTAATATTTTTTTATAATCTTTTGCAGAGACAATCTGGCAACATATGCCAATGATTATCCAGCACAATTTATTCTGGGTTACTGCTCTACTTACATCTTCATGCAGACTTTTATGATTCCTGGGACAATTTTTATGTCATTGCTAGCTGGAGCTCTTTTTGGTGTAATCAGAGGCCTTATCTTGGTTGTCTGCAACGCTACAGCTGGAGCATCATCCTGCTTCTTTTTGTCTAAGTTAATTGGAAGGCCTTTAGTTAGTTGGTTGTGGCCAGAAAGGTTGAGATTTTTTCAGGCAGAGGTACTTCTTATTACTTTGTTAAATTTGGTCAATTCTGCTATCGTTCTTCCACTACTTTAACCTTAAATTTTGTGCACCCAGATTGCAAAGCGTAGGGAAAAGCTGCTAAATTACATGCTTTTTCTTAGGATAACTCCAACCTTGCCGAACCTTTTCATCAACTTGGCATCTCCAATTGTTGATATACCATTTCATATTTTCTTTTTGGCGACTTTTGTTGGTCTTATTCCAGCATCTTATATCACAGTCAGGGTAAGTTCTTTCTACCCATCAAATGACGAAATTCTATTTTCTGTAGAATAAATGGAACTTTCTCATCTTACTATCTGGTTGTTTTGGTGTCTGTATATGGGGCTTGCTATACTTTTTAGTAACGAATTTGTCCAATAAAATAGTTAAACAGTCCACACTGCTTAGATTAGTTCTGGGCAGCATTTTACTTCATTGTTTTGTTATGCTTTAGGAGGTTTTGGACTTGAAGGCCTTGAAGTATGTCATATTTAGAGGCAATAATCCATAATCATCGACGCTGTGGTGGGGATTGGTCAGAGAAGCATGGGTCGATTGGGTTATTATTTTTGAGTTACGTTCAAACATTTTTTGTCAAAAGTATGTCTTTTGGCGGTAAAGGGACAGAATTCTGTGGAATGTCCATCTTTTAACTATCTCTTGGGTAATGTGGTTGGACAGAAATATAAGAACATGTGTGGAGTTTGGCTGTGGCTTCTTTAGGGAGTATAATGGGGATCTACAATAGAATCCTTGGGGAAAAAAAGGTTAAGTTTTGGGTGTTCTATGTATTATTGCTTTCTTGGGTAATCATATGAGCCTAGCTTCCTTGTAGTATCTGTACTGTGGTTTCTTGCTTTCTCCAACCTTTAGAGATCTTGCATATTCTTTAATTTTATTAGAAGGGGGAGCTGCTATAGGATCGTTTTTAGAGTTGTATTGCAATGCTAGAGTTGTATTTATGGATTTGGTTTCAGGGTTGTATCATATAATGGGTGGACCTCTGGTTTACTAAGTTTTGCAGCAATTTTAGCTTTTTAATAAAATTCTATTTCTCAGATTTTGGAGTCCGGAAAACACAGGGTAACACCAGTGGATTGCAGAAGAAACTTAGTAGATATGTGTTTTGTTGTCTTATCTTTAATCTGAAGTGTGATTCACAGTCGTGTGGGATTATTAAATTGTAAGGTCTTCAGCCAACTGCTGGCTAAGGTAGCCTGCTGGGAGGTCAGGTGATTGAGCCACTGAAGAAATCAACCAACTATGTTGGTTGACCTCCATTCCAGAAATGTTCTGGTTTTGGTTCTTCTCTTTTGACAACGTGTCTTGTCCAACTCCCATTTACTTGGGAGGCCCCCTTACTCCTAGGGTCCAAGATATAAGTGAACTAGTTTTAGTCAAAGTACTAGGCTATCTAGCCAGTCTAAGCTTATAGTGTGGTAAACTCTCCTATTAGCAAGCTCTTGCAATAATTTGATGTTATATTGATCAAGGCCTTCAAGCTTCTTGCAGATGCTCATGATGTCGTCAATGAATACCTAAATCTGAATCTAAGTCTTTCATGAAATTTGCAAATTTTATAGGCCTTTTCTTTTGGTTGGAAAAGTTCTAGACCTATCTCATGGTGTCAAAAATTTTATTTTTGAATGCAATAAATCATAAAGATAACAAATTGACTAATTTACAGTAAACATAAAGTGAATAGAAATTTTTATATCGTTGGGATGAATTAATGGGTATCAGTAAAGTTGCTATTGTCATGTTCCCCGTGCTGTATAATTAGATGCAGGACTTGCTATGTTTGGAGGTTGATTTGTCCATGTGAGATAGGCAACAACAACAAAGCCTTTTTCCACTAAATGGGGTCAGCTATATGAATCCTAGAACACCACTGCGCTCGGTTCTGTGTCATTTCATCCGTTAGATCCAAGTACTCTTAAGTCTCTTCTTAAAGTCTCTTCCAAAGTCCTTCTAGGTCTTCCACTACCCCTTTGGCCCTGAACCTTTGTCCCGTAATCACATCTTCTAACTAGAGCGTCAGTAGGCCTTCATTTCACATGTCCAAACCACTGTAAACAATTTTCTCTCATCTTTCCTTCAATTTTGGCTACGCCTACTTTACCTCGGATGTCCTCATTCCTAATCTTATCCTTTCTCGTGTGCCCATACATCCAACGAAGCATTCTCATCTCTACTACACCCATTTTATATCTCTGCTACACCCATTTTATGTATGTGTTGATGCTTCACCGCCCAACATTTCATGCCATAAAGCATTGCTGGCCTTATTGCCGTCCTATAAAATTTATCCTTGAGCTTCAGTGGCATATGACAGTCACACAACACGCTGGATGCACTCTTCTACTTCATCCATCCAACTTGTATTCTATGGTTGAGGTCTCCATCCAACTCTTCGTTCTTTTGCAAAATAGATCCTAGGTAGCGAACGCAGTCGCTCTTTGGTAGTTCCTGATCTCCAATCCTCACCCCTAACTCATTTGAGCCTCCGTTTGCACTGAACTTGCACTCCATATACTCTGTCTTTGACCAACTTAGGCGAAGACCTTTAGATTTCAACACTTCTCTCCAAAGGTTAAGCTTTGCATTTACTCCTTCTTGAGTTTCATCCATCAACACTATATCGTCTGCGAAAAGCATACACCAAGGAATATCATTTGGAATATGTCCCGTTAACTCATCCATAACCAATGCAAAAAGATAAGACTTAAAGATGAGCCTTGACATAACCCTACTGTTATGGGAAAGCTTTCGGTTTGTCCTTCATGAGTTCTTATGGCAGTCCTTACTCCATCATACATATCCTTTATAGCTTGGATATATGCTACTCGTACTCCATGTGAGATAGGCCATGATTATTAAACCTTATTCAGTTGGATTGCAACGGATGTTTCTGTTGGACCTATCATTTGTGTTTTTTCGCCCAACAGCTATAGAATTTAATAACTTCACTAACAATATTGTCAATATGTTTGAAGAGAGCTTTTAGATAAACATCAAGTATATATCTACTTAGAATTGCTTTCTTACATGTATTTATGTGTTGTCCCTGTCCAAATAAAAATATGACGGATTAAATTGATTTTCATCATGCTAACTTGTGTACCTTGTTGTATGGTCACTTTGTTTGCTGCGTTTATTATAATAATAAAATAGAGCTTTGTTGCACATAGAAAAGGCATCACAATTGTGACCAAATCAAGATACACATAAACGGAACATCTGATCCCATTGGTTTATAGTGTAGTTGAGATCCTAATTAATGCAGGTCATAGTTTAACTGTTTGGTTACAACTTAACATCTTGGACTGTCAGAAATCTGTTTTTCAATTTAACACATGACAGCTTCTTTTCGTGAAATGTTTTCGTTGTAGTAATCGATAGCTGCTCATTTTGTTTTTCCAGGCTGGCCTTGCTCTGGGAGATCTCAAGTCCGTCAAGGATCTCTATGATTTTAAAACTCTGTTTGTGCTTTTCCTCATTGGTTCTGTGATTATACTTCCAACCGTTTTGAAGAGGAAGCGAATCTATGAATGAAAGTTCAGGTGTTGAGGACTCCATTCCATACTTCTGTCCAGAAGGCGGCTCATGTAGTCTGACAGCTAAATAGTGCAAATGTTACAATACGGTGAAGCTTAATTTTTCCAGGACCCAGAAGGGAGTGTCTGTTTTTCGATATAGGCTCTTCAAAGCATTCTTTACTAGGTAATGTATTGTTACAGAGTTAAAAATGATGTTTCGAAAGTTGCTGTGCGAAAATATTTATGAATTTATCATTGCTTTAGGCTCATGTAACATTGATAGTCCGTGTAACATGGTTTACAATTATATAGCAAATCTTATATTTTTTTTTCCAATGCGGTTGCCCTTTTTGTTAGTTGGAACTGCTATACTTTTCTATATGGTTAACCATTTCAGGTCCAGTGGAAGTTTGAAAAAGTGTTGATTTATACGTTTTTAAGTTGTAACTGAATGCAATAAGGATGATATGTGGAAATTGAAATGGTTAAATATTAAGGAAATTGTGATTCAAATGGGATTGGAGAAATTTTTGTATACAGCAGTGGGACGAGTTTCCTCATACGTACTTGCCAGGATTGCTTTGGATCGTTGGCTAATTATTTAGCATCGGACATTGTTGACCTCCTGCCCAAGTCACCAATGTTGGAAAGGTCGTCTGCGGTTCAAATAACAGCGTTTAAAGATGAAAGAACATTTTGGGTTTAAAAACTTCACAAAACATCAATCTTCAGAAAATAGCGTTAAAACATTCTTCTACAAAAGTTGCTTGAGCAATCTTTCCCAGAACTCTATGTTAATGATTCTCCTACAAAAGCGGCTTGAGCCATCTTTCACAGAAAGCTGTTAAAGCAACTTGAGGGGGGGAGTTAATTAGGTTCATTGAACAATTAGGCTCATTAAATCCTATACATAGATTTGTTGACTCTTCTACATTAGGTTCATTGTGGCCAGGGGAGGTTGAAATGCCTTTGTGAGTTTTCCCGGCCCCCGGAAGGGGTGGATAACTGTGGCTTGCCACCAGTTGTCCCCCTTTTTAAAGAGAAAAAAACTAAAACAAGTCAAATTTTTCTCTCCAAAGGACAATTTGCAATGAGATTACCACGTATTAAGCTCTAACAAGGCCACTTTGTATACATATAAAGCAAAAGCCTTGGAATTAATCAGGCAGCACAAGATTAAGAAACGTAAGCTATTCATCAGTTCCTTTTACAAATTGAATGCTTACAAGAAATTGCATTTCTCTGTTACTATCTCATTCTCCAGCAGACGAAGACGTAGACTGATCTTTTATTCCAAAAGCGTCACCCAAATTAAAGTTCAAATTGTTTCTCATGGTTCTGCTCCTCCCAATTCCTCCATCACCCCCCTTCCTCATCATTGCAGCAAACTCCCCATAATCGATACGCCCATCCTGCCAAACTTATGCATTTAGGCTTCCGAAACTTGAACAATATTAATTCTCATCGAAATAAAAAATGAAACGAAACACTTACATTGTCTTCATCAATCTCTTTGACAATTTCATCCAGATGAACGTCACCTAGACCAAACTCCTTGCAAGCCTGTTGAAGCTCGTCGACGGTAATATATCCACTACCATCTTTGTCAAAAAAGGAAAAGGCTGCAATCAAATTCTCCTCTCTTTCCATCTTGTTTAAGTGCAAGGTAGCAGCAAGAAATTCACCATAGTCTATTGTTCCGCTGTTGTCTATATCAGCCTGCCAACATTGCCGAAGCAAAAATGATTTTGTGAGGGTCATTCGTGTTAATAGCGTTGGAGATCTAATAAAAACTTAAATGGGAGGATATTAAAACTTCATAATATGCAGCCACAGTTTATGGGGATCAATCTATTAACTGCTTCCATAAGAGACTTGATTTCAGACTCCATTAGCTCCGAGCCCACTTTCTTCAATCCTTCTTTAAGTTCCTCAAATGTTATTGTCCCGCTGCTATCTGTGTCAATCATTTTGAACAGCTCTTTTAAACCACCAATCTCTTCTTCTGACAGTCTTTCCGCTATCACCTGCGCAAAGAAAACAAGAATGTCACAGTGATACACATTACACCATCACCAAAACAAAAAAGTGGGCACAGTAGAAGAAGAAACAAATCGCTGTCATCAGAAATATCAGAGATAATTGAGTGAAAACTCCAGACGTTCTGGTTAGAACTTTACCTTAACCATAACTGATTGAGATATATAAATCGTTAGTGTCTGCCAACTTCACTATGGCCAGAAGTTGCATATTTAGTGGTTAGAGAATTGAACAGTAAATGAGAGGTCTTCCCTCACTCTCACGTCTCAAAACCTTTATCACAACAACAAATACTCTCACAAGTCACAGCATACACTCATCTTGTGAAGTTGATAAGAAAAATATATGATAAAAACATGTGTATTACAAGGAGAGTGACAAGTTTTGAACAAATCAAAAGTGATATTTCTGCTTAGACCAACCGTTATATAATACAATGTACACTGCATACAAACATTTAAGAATTATTCTGCAGTAAAATTTGGTATACTATAGATTTTTCAACTCCATTCAAAGATGAATGCAATGCATAAATGGAGTTTCGATCTGGAAACTATAAAAACTGTGTTTCTTGGTTACAGACAACGTTTTCAAGGTGAAATGAACTCCCAAGTTCCATCCCGTATCGTATTACTTCCATTTTAAAAACTACTGGTTACTAAAGTTATGTAATTATTTGTTATCTCAGAAATAGCCTTGAAAGAGATTGGAGTGTAACTCTCATATTGGATGATAAATGAATTTACCAATTACTGCCAGGGTGCTGCGTAAAATGAAATAGAATGATCGATCTATAAAAAGGTGATAATGGTTAAACATTTGCAAGACATACACGGAGTGCCATCTTCTTAAGCTTATTCATTGCTGAGAACTGCTTGAGGCGGGACAGAACCGCAGAATCTAGTGGTTTATCTGGGGCAACTCTGTCGTCTACAATCCAGGGGTGACCTGAAACGATCCATTTTAGAGTTCAACGCAGCTAGCATTTTGGATATAACCTTATCTATGCAACTATCACATAAAACTTAATTGGCATTGTATAGTAGGTATTAAACCACTCACATAGGACTTCATGGGCAGAAATTCTTTTCTTCGGGTGCCTCTCAAGCATCTTATACATGAGATCTTTTGCACTTTCTGAAATATTAGGCCACGGCTCAGATTCAAAATCTATTTTGCCATGTAAAATCTGTCTGAAGATGCCTGATTCAGTTTCTGCAGATACATATTGAAAAATTAATCAACTCACGATATAGCAAAACAATCAAACGTAATAGTAAAGGTATGCCTCACTGATAATGGTGGGATAGTCCAGAGTGTGAGAGATTGTAACTGTAGAGAATCACTACCTGCCCAAAAAGGAGGAACCCCGCTTAGGAGGATGTAAAGTATCACACCAGCACTCCATACATCCACTTCGGGTCCATAAATCTTGGACAACACCTCAGGTGCAACATAATAGGGACTCCCAACTGTGTCATAGAAATATTGTCCTGAAACAAGAAAAGGTAGAGCAGAGCATGTAACCAACCTTCTTTATGCATGGTAAAAACACCATTCAAGCTTCAACGGGGGGAAAGAGAAGAACACAAGGTAGAACCGCATTTGATATAGGATAGTGATGGCATCAATTGTATACCGGTTTGAAAACCAAAACGAAAAAACAAAGCATTATTCTGGCAAAGTAATACATTCGAAATTGTGTTTATGTAAACGGACTGTCTTAGACATAGAGATTGATGAGTAATTTCGCTCACGGGAATGACCGAATTAATTGGTATACTGAATAAAACGTAGATACCTTCTTATGGTATCAATACCATGACAGTTGAGCCATCCATCTCGAACCAAAAAGACATTAAAACTGTTGAATCTAGCGATGCAATATAGAATCAGGCTTGAAAGGAAAGAAATTTCTAAATAAATCTAGCAACCTCCAAATATGGCATAGAGAAAAATACAATATCGGGGAAATAGCTCCTGTCTTCTCCCTTGTTGGCGGAGCAGCGGGGTTTATGTTTGTTCAACATATCCATGACTAAGGAGAGAAACAATCCATAACCAATAAAAGTATGGATGTATAAATCAAGCAACCCTAAAGATTGAGTACGCAACAAGGCACGAGAAACAGAAACATTCTCAAAATTGATGGCAGACCAACATTTCCAATTCCAATTCTAATAAAAAGAAAGAACAGGTAAAAGTGGATCTGATCTGGAAATGAAAGGAAGGAAGCTGAACCTGGCTTATAGAAGACAGACAAGCCGAAATCGGTGGCTTTGAGCGTGGCATCATCGGAAGGCGTGTCAAACAAGAAATTCTCCGGCTTGAGATCTCGGTGCATGACGCCGAGGGAGTGGCAGCCCTCCACCACCCCAACGATGGTCTTGATGAGCTTGGCCGCCTCCCTCTCGCTGTAATGCCCCTTCTTGACGATCCTATCAAACAGCTCGCCGCCGGCGCAGAGCTCCATGACGAGGTGCACGAAGACGGAGTCCTCGTAGGTGCCCTTGATCTGGACGACGCTGGGGTGCTCGGAGAGGTGGTGCATGATCTGAATCTCCCTCCAGACGTCGTCGTAGTCCTCCTGGCAGAGGAGCTTGCGCTTGGGGATGGACTTGCAGGCGTAGTGGGCGCCGGTGGGCTTGTGGGTGCAGAGGTAGGTGGTGCCGAATTGTCCTTGGCCCAATTTCTTGCCCATCAGGTAATGGTCTCTCAGCCGCGGCGTTTCGTACGGCAATACTGAATGCGATCCTTTCTTCATTCTTTCGATTCGATTCTCCGATGACGATGAATTTCTTCTGATTTTTTTAGTTTTTTTATTTTTATTTTTGATTTGTGATTCGATCGTTTTCCATGCTTCTCCTTCGCCTCTGAAACTGTTATTTCTGTTTGTTAAATTTGTTTGTTTTGTGGTGTAACAAACCGTATTCAGCTTCAGCTTTGTTGCGCGCGCCTTCTCTCTCTCTCCTCTCCTCTCCTCAACCCACATACGTTCCCTCCACGTTAGCAATTCATAAATACGACAAAGGAAGAAAATTCCTCCATTAACTTGACATCCGACTGTAGAAAAACGTATTTGGCGCGACTTAACTTTCATTCATCCTCAAATGTACAATAATATAAATACGTATCGTTTAGTCCTTTATATAATGAACTTAATGTAGAAGAGTCAATAAATCTATGTAAAACAATTAATGAGCCTAATTGTTCAATGAACCTAATTAACACTCTCATTCAAGTTGGATAGAAATTGCTTTAACATATTTCTGTGAAAGCTGATTCAAGCTACTTTT